TGTGTGTGTGTGTGTGTGTGTGTGTGTGTGTGTGTGTGTGTGTGTGTGTGTGTGTGTGCGCAGGGTGAGTGGGTTTTGTAGGACAAGGGGGAAAAGCTGAATTCCTTGAGCCATTAGCAGGCACATACCAAGGATTCTTTGAAACAAAACAGGCATTATTTTTGGAGACAAGGATAGCGGGCTGTTTTGTGAGCTTGGGGAGATGGGAGAGGAAAGCAGGAAGAAGAGCAGGAAGAGAAGGCACTATGAGTGATTTTATATTAAGGAGCTCACTTGAGACTTGTTCCTGTAAAGTGTCTAAGTGGTTTTCCTGTGACGCTGCAAGAAAGGAATGTAAGTCATCCTCATGAATGCACAGGGTAAAGCAAAAGGAAAGATGAATAACCAGCCTTGGTTATGCAAGCTAAGTATTCTGTGGTCACTTACCCTGGTTTGGAGCCTCACTTGTTTTTAAAGCTTAAATATCGTAGGCAAGAAAAAAAAAAAAAAAGGAATTGAAGCAATCAGATAATGCCATCAGAAAAAAATTCTTGTTTCCTTTCTTGCATTTAATGTATATGTCTTTGCCCAGTTTCCCATCAGTTCTGCAATTCCTGGTTAAGGAAAGGGACGGCTTAAGGCTGTGTGTAGATGATTGGAGGTCAAGGGTCACTCTGGCAGGAAGCCTGTATAATTCTGCCGCTAAATCGTTCACAGATGCAGCAGGGACCTTTAGTGATGCTCAGGCTCCTGGGATACATTTGTGTGTTTGTGAGAATAGCAGGGTAGGAAGGAAGTTGGTGCACACCCCAACCCCCATGATGACTTCATACAGACAAACACACCTGCAATAAGTCAAGACTGGAGTCAGCAGGAAAACAAGAAGGGGATGGGAAAGCTAGTACATCCCTTTGCACATCTAAAATTGCCATGCCATCATAATATAGGCCGTGATGATGTCAGAGAACGCCTGAATGACTCCCACATGCTGCGTTGTGTTTCCTACACATTGTTGCAGTTTGCATGGTTGCAGTTTTTAGAGGAAACGATGAGATGTTGTTGGTGAGAAGGATACTTTAGAGGTCATATCTCTGCGTGATGCATCCGCAGGATATTTGCATGCATAAGGGTGAGATCACACAAACAACCACAGCTTCCTCTACTCACACATGGCCCCTTGAAATCAGTCAGATAAAATGCTCACTTTGCCCTGAACCATACCCAGAGGGTCTGTATTCCCTGTGTCATGTGTCACTTCAAAGTCTTGGTAGTAAATTAGAGCTGAGACGGCAGTAGAATTTTTTGACTCCCAGTCTATATCTTGACGTGTCTAATCCATAACTTTTATCTGTTATATTGCACTAAATCATCCCAGTAACTGATTTTACAGTCTCCCCTTCTCTTCCTCACATTGCTTTAAGTATTTGGGTCATAAATGGCTCTTTAGTGAGCATCAGAATCTGCCTCCCCAACTTTTTAATATCTGCCCTTCAGCTGATGACCTCATAAATCAGGAGGTCACTTCAGTCTCAGGGGTTCCCTGGATGGTGTTCGTGTTGTGTTGCATAACTATCATGGTTGATGGAGCGTGCGAACTGTGTCTCTTCCAGTTTTTCGGAGACATTTTTTCCCCCCCGCCAGCTGAGAAAACTCGAATTTTGACCTGTGGGAGCTCACCCACAGGGACATGCAAAATTATACAGCGCATGTTTCGTCCCATGTTTAAATATCAGCCTCACAAATTAGTCCCATGGCTTCAGCTACTTGTTATATTCCACGTCTCTGTTGTCCTTTGTGTATTTTAGGCACACTCCGATGCCTCGTTGTCTGCCTGCATGCACTTGTCTCGTCTTTGTAAAGTGTTGATTATGTGACACTTATTCTATCCAACCAGTTTTATAGGTTTGTTTTAGGATGCATGTTTTTATTGCGGGCCTGCGTGTGTGTATTCAGAAGCTTCGGGTTGCACTGGTGTATGGGATTAAAGAAGCAGAGTGTGAACACTGCAGCTGTCAACCTTCTGCCTCTGAACATCTCACATCACGAGATCTGCTCTCACCATGCAGCCTTTAAACCCACATAATCATGTCTAATACCCAGAGATTTTATTAGTGTATGAGCGTGTGTGTTTTTAAGCATCAACAGTATGTACAGTATGCCTTTGTTTCCATGTTTGGCTGTGCAGATGATGCATGAACTGTTTATTTATTTGTTGCTTTGATGGAGGTAAAGCAGAAAATGGTTAAATTTGTGTGTTTTCTGAGGAATTTATGGAAATTAAATCTACTGGCTCAAGTTTTATTACTCAGTCACTAGATTTAACACATGGTGTATGAAATTTGGACACAACCTTTTTTGTATAACATCCTCTAAACTTTGTCTTCCTTCCAAGGTGGCGATCAAGTCAATCCGCAAGGAGCGCATCACCGACGACCTGGACAGAATTCACATCCAGAGAGAGATTGAGATCACATCTTCACTCAGTCACCCCAACATCATACGCTTCCATGAGGGTAAGATGACACTGACACACCTTCCCACGTAATCAGACAATTTCATAGTTTGGTATCCAGCTAGCGTTTAGGCAGTCAATATTTTAAAGAACGTTAGTTGAAAGATATTAAGTTCCACAACACACACAGCAGCATTTACAGCAGTGTTGTTTAACAATGCCAGGGGCTAAGGGATAACGCTGGTAATGCTCACAAATCCTATTTGAAGCCCAAAACCAACAATGACACGACCCAACTAAGTATTTCCTATTTGTACAAAGAATCGTACACATGTCTTCTTACTCCGTTCCATAAACTTGCATTGTTGTCAAATACTTAACTTAAAATCATATCACTGATGCACTAATTTGGGAAAAATATCCCAAAACTACTACAAATACCACTCTGGGTCAATTCAAGCTAAACCACCAAAATACTCACTGCAGCAAGAAGGAATCTCCCCAAAAATGATTTGCTAAAAGCTACAGCACCCAGAAATGAAACAATATGATGGAAAAGAATTGTAAAACTTCTAAAACAGCCTTGAGAGACGGTCTTTGGTATCTTGTTTCATCATCTTGTAGTGTTACTTAACAATAAAAACAGAAGATTTTTACCCTTATTCACTAAAGGTCTCCCATTTATTGTTGGATGGGTATTGTTGTTCAATAGAACAAATGAGGAGGATGTTATAGTCATCAATAAGATAAAAAATTCCAGTTAGCCCCACACCTGTCACTATACTTAAGTATATCATTTCGATTGGTAGCCATTCATCAGTTGAGACTCTTTTAAAGTTGTACAAATGACAGAAACTGCAGATATTTCTGTTTCTATGAAGATTTATTGAAATCAATAAGCATTTGCATACACGGATTACACAGGAGTTGAAAACCTACACAGCCAAAACAGCATTAAAGGTTTCTGTTTTCCTGTGTTGACAGTGTTTGAGAGCCGGGATAAGATTGTGATTGTGATGGAGTACGCCAGCAGAGGAGAGCTATATGATTACATACAGGAGAGGAGGCGACTGCCAGAAACAGAAACCCGCAGCATCTTCAGACAGATTACATCTGCTGTCCACTACTGCCATAAGGTTTATACACACCAAACAACCTACCCACATGTGTTCTGCAGGTGCCCAACAGGAATACATTACAAGTTAGCAAATTGCACACAGGCACGTGTGCACACATGCAAATACTGTACCGCTTAAACCAATAAATCCTAATCCTATTACTGCAGAAAAACTTGACTTGAGTTTTCAGATCTCTTTGGGTTAAGAGCGCATTATAAGGCTCGATTGTTCTTTACAGTCACACACTGACACATTTAACAAACGCTAAATGAGCCTCCTTCAACATTACTGTAAGCCTTGGCATAGAAACAAACACTTCTTTGTTTCTCTGATTTATTGTTGTGTACATAAAATCAGGCCAGAAAGCAGGAATTATCAAGGACTTATTAAGTCCTGTTTAAACAGAAGTGCATTACAGTGGAACTTAGGATATCTGCCTGACTGTCAGCTGAGCTGGACATGGGGAAAAAAAGGCAGTTGTTTTGCTTTTCTTATTTTGGCAGTTTGGACTCTGTGTGAATCTGCTCACGTTAAACTTATCATTCAGCTTCTGCGTCTCTGTGGTGTGCAGGGTGATGGAATTTGGGCTCCTCGTGCCCTTGAATATTGTCCCAAAATAGACATGAATGTTCCAGCGTGAATGAATTATTGAATGTGCCTCAGAGGTATGCGGTGCACATGGAAAGACGAGCAAGGCTTCACGAGAAAAATGGAAATAATCGAGGGCCATTCACTGCTCCGTTCACAGGCATTTTAAACGATAGTAAAATGCCTGTAAACGACCTGATAAACCACATCTAACCATACGTGTGTCTGCCGTGTTTGCACACATACACACATAGTGCAGTTACATGTAGCACACAAAGCACTGTCTGAGGTCATTGGCCATTTCCTTCACATAAGAAGAGAATTTAATAAATGAAATAAAGTTTGTTTAAGACGAACTGACAGGAATGTTTAAAGTGTCACATGATTTCCTGGGTGACCACACCTAATGAGGTACTACATATGCAATTTATTTTGCCACAAATAGTGTAGATTTTGAGTCATCTGCCTTTTCCTTGCACACTTGTGCTTAATGCCAGTCGGCGACTCAAACCGTCATCCGATGAAAAAACAGAGCACCTTCTCATGCTTGAGAATAATTAAACAGTCTGATGATCTTCCTTCAGACTCTCCAAGAGCAGCACCTCAAGTGTGTTTCTCCTGTCTTGCAGAACGGGGTTGTGCATCGAGACCTCAAGCTGGAGAACATTCTTTTGGACCAAGATTTGAATGTAAAGGTAGGATCCTAAGAAAATATTGTGCACTAACTGAGCCATCTTGCCACATTTCCTTAGCATTTAATGAGATAAGATAAGATAAGATAGAACTTTATTAATCCCTCGGGTGGGTTCCTCTGGGAAATTC